GCTGCTAACCTTTAGCAGCATGTCTGGTCAAGTTTAGGAAGCTACACTGACTAAGATCCCATAAATGGCTTTGATTTCATGCCCCACCAAATTGAGGTATGTTCCATGAACCTTATTAAACGTGTGGAGCCAAAGAACCAGAGGGGAGTTGCCTCATGTAGTCATCATCGACAGCATCCCATTGACGCGACATGACTATTGGGGAAGGACCACACAGCAAAGTTTGATACATTCCTTAATTTCAGTGCAAAACCATGGCAATACATTATCTTGTGCATCTGCAGAGCCTGGCTTCCTCTCTGTCTCCAAGGAGGAATTGCAACTTTGGTAACATGGCCAGAAAATGAGATATAACGAAGCTGGCTAATACCAAAGCTGCCATCTACATTGCACTCATGAAGAGCTTTTAGGCTAGAATCAGCATCTCTAAAACTGTTAAATCAACAACAAGCTTTGATGCCTTCAATACTGGATTTGGAAGTCTCCTCTACTCTGATCAACATACTTCCCTGCCTTCTTCCAGCCCCTAATGCCACTAGCCAGTCTCTCTCATTGGGCCACAAAATACCTGGATATAAAAGAAAGCAGGTATCAGCATTTAGGCAGTTCTGGAATTGAATTATTATGGGCACTGTTATTTAGGTTATCAGCCTGGCTCAATGTTCAATGAGGCATAGGATGACATAACAAGGGAGCATTCATCAGATCAGGATAAGAGCTGGACTTTAATACACCTTCACCACAGACTGTCAGGTTTTATTAGAAGTCAGGAGTTTTTTCCTATAGGAGCAACTGGACACAAGTGAGCATTAGCTTCAAAACTTACAGGGCATTATCCTCATGCTCAAACCAAATGAGAACGCAGCCTTGCCTGCACAGAGACAGAAGCACAGTGTTCTAGGAGACACTTCCACGCGACGTGAGTATATTAAAGACAAAGAATAAAGATACTTTATTGCACTAAACATGCAGATTCCACATTGGGTTCTTGGAAACAGAGGAGCATTTCACTTTGTCCAGTATGTGCAACACAGAAGAGTAAAGAGCCCAGTGTATATTCTCCAGGTTGGTCACTTTTCCAGCTGTTGATCTTGCACTTGGTCCTCCTTCAGTCTAGGGAAGGAACTCTTGCAAAAGAAGCCAAACCCGTCAAGAAAGCATGCACACGTATGAAAGCATCAAGCACACACTGGAACCCACTCACATGGAGCCAGGATAGATACTGGTGTGTTTCCCCAGCACAGGTACTGCCCTACAGGTATTAGTCATTTTCTAGGAGATGCCACTGTCAAGACTGGGCTCAACTATTCCCTGTGATACCTACAGGGGAAAGAGACAGACAGGAGAAATACAAGAAATCAAAGTTCCAGATTTTAGACAAACAGCTGGATTTTAACTCTAGCAGAACCTCCTCTGACTTACTTTAGTTAAAGCTAAATTGTGGTCCAACATCTCATTTCTATTTTAAAGGCACAGGTAAATTAAGAAAAGCAGAGAATTCAGGCATGCAGGTTCTCAAAGTCATCAGGACCCCTCTCCCAAATCAACTGGCATATAGCTGCAAGGAGAACTGAGTTGGCATAGAGCTCTGTAAACTGAGGAGAGGCCACCACTGAGATCAGCTACACTGCACTGCAGCTTCCCCTCAAGGAGATGCTTGTTGCTGAGCAGAAAAGAGAATTTTAAGCAATGCTTTAAAATAAAAGTACTTACGTTCCTTCTTCTCGCAGAAGAGCCAAGAACTTTTTCACCCGGTATTCAGGATCCATCTAAACACCAAACAAAACAGATCTCCATTAACGTCATGCAATCTTCCAGTAGGAAAATCAGACCACAAAGGCAGCTGGAGATGTGTATGTGTGTGTCTGCTTTGGTCTGGCCAGAGATTGGCCTGACTAAGTACGTCCTCATACATCCTCTGTCTTCCTTACCTCCCTTCCAGCTCCAGAGCACAGGAGAGGAGCTGCATGTGGTGGGTTAGCACAGAAGCGAAAGCTGAATCCCAGCAGATGGCTTCCAGAACCAGCAGTACCAACGTGTGGTTTGGCTCCACCCACCAGGAACATCATGTAAAGATCAGTCCTGCCTCTCCCTCAACACTGAGACACAACAGGGAAGCGGGTGGAAGGGCTACTAAAGAGACAGAGACTCAGGCTGCTCTCAGAAGACACAACACAGAAGTGCATCAGTCCTTTGTGGTGATGCACAGACTTGTTGATCTTCTCCAGATCAAGAAGACTGCAGGCAAATTGCTATCACTACACCAAGATACAGCAAGATAGGACTATGAAATATGGCAGCTGGAGACCACTGGTTCCCAGAGTATCTTTGTGCCTCCCCACCCCTTTTCACTCAAGCATAGGAAAGTGGCCGTGGTAAGACACATTGTCCACAACCTGCACTGTCACAGTTCCTACCAACTCTTC